TCGGGGATGACGTTTCCAACCTTCAGAGAGCCTCGGATTCCAGCTTCTGATTTAGCGTTAAGCCAAGACCACGACTTGATACCTGATGAATTTTCATCTGACATGACTTCTGAGGTGGATTGGTCGGAATTCTGAAGATGTTTCCTGAGAATACCAGGTGTTGGCAAGGGTGCCCCCAATGGGTGGCCAGGGGTGGCTGCCCCCCCCAGGAAAAGCCAATGTTAACAAATCAAAGCAATCAATCAAATCAAAGATTCTTTATTAATCCCAGAGGGAAATTAATAATGTTCAGTCAAGCCATACATTGATCTTGTTTATTCAAGACATAACTGTAAAACAAAATAAAATATTACAGTCAATGCGTAAAGAAATAACCAGAATGTCAAAAAATACATGTTTCTGCTGCTCACCATTTTAAAAAAGTTTTATCTCCATAGTTTTTATTTAAACACAGCAACAGGTGGATTAACCTAAAAAATGTTTAAATTAAATTTGAGATAACATTTTAAATAACTGAAATGTATTTTTCTAAAATGTTTGTGTTTGTAAAATTGAAGTTAAACATTTAGGATACCTACTGTTGTTTTAATAAAAACAAATAAAGGTGCAATGCAGCACATCGCCACAGACTAAATTCAACCAGAGTTACCACAAGGACCAATTTGGTGTGCCACCCCAAAAATGTCTTAGGCCCCATCTGGCCACCCCTATCAAATTTTTCTGGAGGCGCCCCTGGGTGTTGGAGCAGAAAAAAACATCTCAAACCTGCAGAATAGTGGTCCTCAAGAACCTGGACTGCATTCCTCTGGCCTGAAGAGTTCCAATTCAACCACTCGTTTGTGACATTTTTACTTATAATAAGAGGATATCGTGGATTTTAACACGTTTTATAATCTGTGGATCATTTAGTTTCAGGATGCAGATTAAATTCCACACACGTTTTTAATGTTATTTTTGACAAAAACAAACCATAGAGGACAGCAGCAGCTCAGGAGGTAGAGCGGGTTGTCCAGTAACCAGACGGTTGCAGGTTTGATCCCGGTTCCCACCACTGCTGGTGGTGGTCAGAGGGACGGTGGTATCACAGGGCAGCTGTAGCTACACTGTAGCTCATCATCATGAAAGGGTGAATGACTGATTGTGTTGTGATGTGCCTTGGGGGGGTTGTAGAGGTTGCATAAAGCTTGGTTTATGCTTGACGCATTCACTTTCCGCGCGGTGATGCGGCTCGCGGCTGGAACGCGCTTCACAACTCGCAGCGTTTATGGTTCATGCAGCTTGTCTCTGAGGTGAGCCAATATTCTCCCAAACTGTAGGGGGCAGCATGGAGCTCTACGGCATGCATCCAACACTACACCATAGTAGAAGTAAAAATGACTGTTGTTTACAACATGGCATTCCAGCATTTCTTAACAGCGTCCTCGTCTTTTCCGACAGTGTGAGCTCTTTCCAAGAATCATTAACAACATGTTGATCACGGTGATCTTTCAGAGCTGAGTCATACAAATGTCTGTATTTACGAACCTCTGCCATAACTAGTTCTTGCCAGTCCGCCATGTTTTTCCGTGTTCGACTGTCCGCGTCCTGGGTGCGCGGTGCGGAAAGTTTGGGCCGTGCGGAGGCCAGGTGGAGAGGCGTGGTTGTGAAAATGACGCAAGTTTTCAGTGCGAACCTCGCGGACGCGTCAAGCATAAACCAACCTTAAGGCGCGATACAAACACAAGCCATTTACCACATTTATATTTGGGTTAAAATAATCTAAATAAATGCACATTTTCTCATTTTATTATGAAGACGATTGTGAATTTCTGTTAAGGATTGAAGGAGTCGTCCCACCTTTCTTTATATTTTTCTCTGCAGAAGCAAACTTTCTTGTAGTTCATTCAAAGACCTTCAGGAAGCTGAAGAACTATTGATCGAGTTCATTTAAAAGGTTTTCTCGTGAACTTTGGCCGCTATCTTCTGTCCACTTCCAGCAGCTTGGATCCCTGCACAGCGAACTGGAGTGGCGTGGACACGAAACTTAGCGAAGAACCAACTGGCTCCCATTTCTTCGTTTGCACCAAAAAACTAAAACAGACACAATCTGACAGGCGTCAAAAAAAGCTGCCGCTGAGTCTTGGCAATGTCTAACGCCACCTTAAAAATTGAAAAGAAGCGGTTTGAATGGCGGACAAAAGATGTGACAAGCATTAAAAACAACTTTGCAGCAGATAAATGGCTTTGAAGGAACAGGAAAACATCCAGAGAAGACCTGAAACCTTAGAGATGCTTCAGGTGATGATCTGTGTCCTGAAACTCTATCAGAAAACGTCTCAGTGGGAGGGAAGCTGTCAAAAAGTCCCCCTTAAGGGAAAGAAATGAGACCTGTCAAATTATGGAAGTTCTGTCATGGCTGGAGTTTCGCCAGAGGTGTTGGGATCCTGTCAAGGCTGAGGGACCATGGATGGAGAACATCCGGCTCAGACATCAACCTGGTTGGACTAAAACCTCGGTGGTTCTTTAAGTAGCTTGTACGTTTCTGAGTTTGTATAAAAATTTTCTTCGAGACAAACAACTTGAGATGTCCTGTAGGTGTGAAGAGTTGGGTCTTACCTGTGCGGTCTCCACCCCCTCCCCTGTCAACATCTGATTCTTTCAAAAGCCTAAGCAGATGCACAACCTCCATTTCTGCATGATGTGTCATTTATTAATGCATGTGGGTACAGTTTTTCTGTTTATTTGAGTCATTTTGCAGAAAAGGACTGTTCTAATTCATAACTTCACTTTTATCTCTAAAATATTCATTTATTTCTTAAATTTTTGGTGCAAATTCAAAAATCTGTGCCTCCTTTTCTTTCAACCAGAAGCTCAGAAACCTCCAATTACAGCAAATCCAAATAAAATGGAGGACTTGTTTTTCCCTTAACAAAGCAAAGACAAAGCTATTTAATATTGCACTGCAGTTGTGCTAATTCCCTAACAAATGGATCATTAATCAAAACAGCAGAACTAATTGCGATGTAATTAATCCTGGGATTCTGGAGATCCTGAAGGCCAAAGTAATCAACCCTTTGCTTGTTGTTACATATTAGCTGATACAGAAAATTTAGGATTTTTTGTAATCAGCACTTCTGGTTTGCTGGGGGTCAAAATGGTCGCATGGGTTCACTCAGTTGGTTTGAGTTTAAAACTACGAAGGTGTAACGTCCAGCAATGGTCAGTTTTCACCTAAAAACTGACCTACATGCCACCGGTCAACGGAAGACATAAATTCCATTCTCCAAGGTGGATTTTACATTCTACCTTCCAACAAGCAACAAGGTTCTGCAAACCTTGTTGACATTTCAGGACGAACACGATGTCATCCTGTGTTCCCAAACAAAGCCTTCCTCTGATAACACCGCAGGATTCCTCATGCCTCGGAATAAAGTGACTATTTTCAGTTCATATGAGTTAATCAATCGTGAAGTGGAATGAACAAATGTTACATGAAATGATCAATAATGTTTTGATTAATCTGTGCTTAAATTAATAGGGTTGATTAATCTAGGCTTAAATTAATAGGGTTGATTAATCTGTGCTTAAATTAATAGGGTTGATTAATCTGTGCTTGAACTACCGAAGTTTGAAATGAAACATTTTGATAACATTTACCCTCTACAAAGGAAAGATGGGAGCGTGTGAGGATGGTTTGCACGTCTGTGGATGAAAACTCTAATTTAGCTGTTGGAAAAGCATCTCATGAGCCACATGAAGCTCAGGATGATTTCATCAAATGTTCGTCTAGCTAATTGATTTGGAGTCAAGATGAACGACATTAAAAGCCAAGTTCCCTGAGGGACCATTTTTACCTTATTAAAAATGATCAAAATAATCTCCTACGCCTATTTCCTGCAATAGCTTCAGATAGAAATAGACGGAAAAACACTTGGTTCAGAAAATCCTGACAGATCTACGTCACACTCACTTAACTCGTTCGCTGCCAGCGTTTCTCACCGTTTTTACTGTTTTTTTAAGAGTCACAGAACGTTGCGCGGTAGGATGATGTAGACGCCAACACAACCAAAACAAAGCGGAGACTCACCTCTTACATCAGGAAGAATCCGCGCGTTTCGAGCATTATCCGTTCTTTCATAATCCGTTGTTGAATTGTGATCGGCAGACGCTTTTCCGGTTCGCGCCTCACTTCTTTTACAGCAGCGGCCCAAAACGATCTCCTAACACATGGATGTTCTGCTTCCTGATCACCTGACGTGCGACCTATGCAGGTGAAGATCGGCTTTAGAGCTGAGATGTTTGTTCTCTCGGCGCTGGGGCTTGTTCCGATGCCCACACAGTAAAAAAATGCAAAAAGCAGTGAATGAGTTAACATTCATGAACTCACCCATCTTCACTCGTAAAAGGGAAGGCTCTTGCTGGTTTACCCCTTCTTTCCATCAGACGTGAAAGCGTCGTAAAGTGGCCGCGAAACCACGCGGCAGTTTGTCGTTATAGTCGACGGGTTCCCTTTCACTGGCAGCAAAGTGTAAGATGTCCCAGAAGCAAAGGGGATGCTATCATTACATTTCCAGACTGCGTTTTATGCTCTACCCTTACAAAACACATTAGACTATGCAGTTTAGCCCTTTAGGCCTTAGGCCTTTTGTCTTTGGGCCCTGGCGCCTCCCAACTGGAGGCTTTTGGAGTTTGTTTGCATTCCCCAAGCACAGCTACAATCAAAATGGTTTAGATTGTAAACAAAGCCATTTTTGTTTTACATTAAGATAAAATAATACTTTAACTTTATTTTAGAAGAGCTGCCCTGTGTGAAAGTGCTGACAGGAAGGAGGTTGCGAGTTCAAATTCCATTTAGGAAATTTATTCAATTGTTTTATTTATTCCAGGGGTCCTCAACTACATTTGTTCAAGGTTTTTTTTCCCAGCAGACAGTTCAAACATCATTGTATCTTAATTTAATTCCATTTAAAATGGCCTTGTTTCACATCTGGGCTGTTTGATTGTGGTTTCAGTTGTGTTTGGAGAAAGTGGACAGCTGTAGATGTCTGGGAAATGAAACTGTGGAGGTCCCCAATTGAGGGCGTTAGGGTTTAACAGGTTAGATCGAGGCAGACAGGAAGTCAAACACAAAAACAGTGTCAAACATCCGGAAACCTTCAAACTTAAAGTCACCTGCAGATAAACGTATGTCATTTCCTGTTAAAGCCCATGTAGCTGAGGTAAACAGAACAGAAAAAAAGCCACAGGTCTTCATGGATACAAGCAGCTGTCTTTCTCCTTGCTTGTAACTTCAGAAATTACGAGGGGTGTTGCAATTTTCCCGTGATTTCGTGACCTCACTGGACCAGCTGTGTGGAACGCTTTCGCTCCTGTTTTGCGTCGGAGTTGCTCCCGTATGGAAGCACGCTCGCGGGTAAAACGCCTCTTTTTTCTTACACGTGATGCGGCTTTTGCATCTGGTGGAAAGGGGTAGCGTGCAGGAAACAGCGGAAAACATCTCGACCAGTGGAAGCTAACCATTAGCGTTAGCAACCCCACCACACAGCAGAACTCTTTTAGGCTTGTGTTGTTTGTTGGGATAAAACATCAAAGTTGCAGAGCATGCTGAGTCAGAGGAAGAGCCACCTCTATGAAATCTTAGGGGCGCCACTGGCCAATCAGAGCCAAGATGTCCGAATATTAGAAAATAAGACTTTGAACTCTGATGTCTGACGCCACTTTCTCCTCCAGGTGACTTCTACGTCCTCAAACAGTCGCACCAGAGCTTTTTTTCCCCAGAGAACAACTTAGGGTAAAGTTGCTCTTTAAAAAAAGGATTACATTTTTTTAAAATGTGGTACATTTTGTAGATCAAGATCTTGAGCCATAGTTTCTTGAGGGAATTCCTCGCGACAACACAAACTGACTGAAACAGATATACTTTTTTTGTGATGTAACAGTAAGTATGAACAATTCTCCAGACTCTCTGGAGGGTTTTGTTGTATTTCTTTGGACCGTCTCTCCTGCAGCCAGATGAGATGAGTGGATAAAGGTAAGGGAAGAGATCTTTGTTCCAAATCCTTCTGGTAAATACTCATCTTTAAAAAGAAAAGAAAATGTGAGGCAGTGAATGTGTAAGATGCTCTGAAATGAAACAAAATCTGCAAATGTTGGACTTCCTCCTCAACACCAGTGTTCTTGTCATGTCTGCAACACACAAATCCATCTCTGCTCCCATCAAACGTCTCCCTGCGATTGGGAAACGGAAGCACAGAAACCAGATCTAATCCAAAGAAGAAGCTATCAGCATCCCATCTCCTCCAGCCTCCAGAGGAGACTGCCGTTGCTGCACCATTGTGCAGATTACCCACCAGGATATTGTTGCTGCAAAGATGTGCAAACGCTGAATTATTCAAACGCCATTTCTTCTTTTGCTGTGAGCACTACGAAGGGGGAAATCCATTCGTTTAGCTGTTGGGGAGTGGGAAAATCATGGAGAGGTGTAATGAAAGCACTGGAAGCACGAGGACTAAACTGCAACACCTCTGCAAGGCTCAATGAGGCTTGTGAGAAGTAATGTTTTGGGTAATGTGGCTGAACTTCTTTGAGCTTTCAGCCTTTGGTGGGACCTTTATGATGCTGAATCTCTCAACCTTCATGCTCCAAAGCGCTCAAAACGTTAGATACAATAATTTGAGGACTTGGATTCAAGATAAATGCTGCGAAGACAAAATTTTCAATCCATAAAGTCCCTTATCAGCTACCAAGACTTTCTGACTCTCCTCTAGTGTTTAATCTACGAGCTCCTGCCTTCTAACATCTGAATCATTCAGTCTCAGTCTTTTGTTTTGTCTCCTTGCCACAACAGATCAGACCAAGGTCAGCTGAGGCTCTGCAGCTGGCCATCCTTGAACCTTCAAGCTAACAAGCTGTCCTGGTTTTGGTTGGTGGGCTCCATAACACCGTGTGTGTGTGTGTGTGTGTGTGTGTGTGTGTGTGTGTGTGTGTGTGTGTGTGTGTGTGTGTGTGTGTGTGTGTGTGTGTGTGAGCAGGAGGGGTTGATGAGAAGGGCAAAAGCTGAACAGCAGCGGGTCTACTGGACCAGGAGGTCCTCCCACAGCGCCATCTGGTGGCCAAAAGGACAGATTTCATGATCCAGCACTCTGAACCATCAAAAATGTTTTCGTTTTAGATTTTTTATGCATCATTTTCCACCACCAGTGAGTTTAATTATACATAAATGTGGTTTAACTCGCACATGTTTACATAAGAGAGGTTTTAAATAATAACCAGCAGCACCTCTGTGGAAAATTAATGAACAGAAATGTGATCATGTGGAAATATGATCCATAAAATATTTTTTACGAAAACATGAATATGTTTAAACACGTCAAACCATAAGCCCTTTTATGTTTCTGTTCTAATATGTGCTTTAGGGGCAGCCTACAGGGCCCCACGACCTTGTTTTGTTCTCATATTTTGATTAATCTGTCAATTATAAAATTGTTTAAAAGTGAAAAGTTGTTTTTGAGAAAATATCAAATTAATTATTTTGTTTGAGAGCAAAAATCAACCGGTTATGGAAGTTTTTTTCTACTGCATATAAACAGTTATCTCTGTGACTAATATTTATGACTACATATTATTTTTAGCAGCAGGAAGCTAATAATTATTACTTTGAAACTCATAATTATCAGTTGGAAACTAAATTTGAGAATCAGAATTTTGACTTTACTAACATTTTTGATTGAATCTTATAATAACAAGGGTTTAGTAAATCACTCAGAAACTCAGAATAGTGAGTAGAAAATCTCACATTATGACCAAGTCTTGCATTAATGCAGTTGAAATTCAGAATTATAACTTTGAAACTCACAATAATGACTTTAAATCTTATATTAAGGACTTTAAAACTCACAATTTTGAGTTTGAATGTAACATTTGATTACATCTTACACCAACGAAATGGAAACTCAAAATGCTGACTCTAGGACTAAAGTGTGAAAAGTTCAAGGATGGGTGAACAGACCGCTCTGTGATTGGCTGTTTCCCATTCACCAGTCACGTGATCTATTCCGGTCGGGACCGCTCCTGAAGGCCTAATCAATCAATCAGCCTCATTAACCTGCTGGTCCGGACTCGCTCGCTTCGTGACCTGTGGCCTAATTGATTGTTAACTCGGCTTTATTGGTTTGGCGTTTGCTATGGATGAAGACCGTGATGTACCCGAAGACTTTGGTGAGAAATGGTGTTTAATTGTTTAATTGGCTTGTTTAAGGGTCGGTCACGAGCCTCTGCCGCCACTTAAGTGAACAAGCAGTGTGACGAACTTTATATTATTTGGGGGCACTTTTTTTTATTTCTTATCTCTTCCGAGTGCAGCACCTATTGCTGCTCGGGCCCGCCGAGAAAAAGGTGAAAACGCGGTTATTAACATCCACGACCCGCTGTTTGGACATGATGGCGACAGGTTAGCTAGGTTAGCTGCAGCTAGCTGCAGGAGTTAATTAGCCGGAGGGTGAGGTGGCAGAGGAGCTGCGCACCTGGGATTTTAATTACGTCACTGCAGATTGCCTCTCCATTCAGATAAAGTCACTTCACTAAAACTTTAAAATGCAATAAGATGTTTAAAAACGAAGTTAGCCACATCAGCATGACTCAGGCTGGACACTAGAGTCCTAAGAGTGTATGGAGGTCAGTATTGTACTGGTGTCAAGCCAGCCTCCAGCTGGTGACTTGCAGTCAAGCCAGCCTCCAGTTTGTTTTCTGTTCCCCGTCTATTCAAGTTATTACGGGAATGGACGTGGAAACCGGATTTCAAAATACAAGTCAACTTAGAGTGAATTATCAGATATTTTAAGAACATAATAACAAATAATTTAGGCTTGTTCACTATTAGCGCCCTGTCAATATCAAGGCAATCTTATTTTGTATTTCAAAGTAAAAGCCATGTGAATTTTCATTTTTGAACTACTCTTTCAATGACTCCAGATTGCTCTTAAAAGCAAAAGTCATATTTCCAAACAGCAGTTGCATTTTGTATCAACACTATCAAACCACAGCAATTTGAAATTGCCCATATTTGACGACTCTTTTAACGATTTCAAAAAGCTCTAAAATGGAAAATTGCTGTTTCCACAGGGTAACTCCACTTTATATCAACAGTACACAACCCCACAGTGATATCATATGAATATCAAAACATTCTGATGTTGCGTTTCAAAATAAAGGCCTTTTAAAGTTGCCCATATACGACCAAACTTTAACAATTTCAAAATGCTCTAAAATGGAAAGTTGCTGTTTCCACATGGTAACTCCACTTTATATCAACAGTACACAACCCCACAGTGATACCATATGAATATCAAAACATTTTGATGTTTTGATATTCATATGAAATCCTTAAAAGAGTCGGTCAAATATGGGCAATTTCAAATTGCTGTGGTTTGATAGTGTTGATACAAAATGCAACTGCTCTTTGGAAATATGACTTTTGCTTTTAAGAGCATTCTGAAGTAATTGAAAGAGTAGTTCAAAAATGAAAATTCACAGGGCTTTTACTTTGAAATCCAAAATAAGATTACCTTGATATTGACAGGGCGCTAATAGTGAACAAGCCTAAATTATTTGTTATTATGTTCTTAAAATATCAAATTATTCACTCGGAAGTTGACTTGTATTTTGAAATCCGGTTTCCACATCCATTCCCGTAATAACTTGAATAGACGGGGAACAGAAAACAAACTGGAGACTGGCTTGACACCAGTTCACAGAAAAGGTTATTAGATTTATTACCAAGAAGCAGTTTTACAATAAAGAAACGTTTGGAGCATGTAGACATAATCAGATTTGACCAGAAATTTTCTTCAAACTTTGCTTTAATTTAATAAAACACACAATTTTCGAGCTGTTAGGTTTTCAAGAGAATTTAATGAGATTTCTCTATATTCTCCGTCAAGCGTCTCCCACAGACGGATTGTCTTGATGACATTTTCTCCCCATATATGACAACTCCAGAAGATCAATATCCTATTATTGTCCCCAGTTGTCCACAGGACACAGCAGTCTCCAGGCTATAAATTCATCTATATTTAAAGAACACGTAGTCAGTCAGAGCCCCAACTAATCAAAAGTTAAAGAAAACAGTAATTATTTACATTTAATTTCTTAATTTCTAACTCTGACAATGTCTACATGTCTTGTTTGTTTATGTCTTATTCAGAATTATTTGACGTGTTAAAAATATGCATGCACAGTACCGTAACGGGATACTTTTACATATTCTTTATTGTTATTTCATACAAGTTCCCGACTTGCTGTTGCAGACACTAATTTTTCCTCTAATCGGATCCAAAAATGTGGTCAAATCCTTCTATTTGTATATTTTAACAGGTTTTTTTCCTGCACTGTAAATAACACTTCAAATGTCCCATTTAATGACGTTTGGTGAGCAGCGTATCTCAGTGATGGAGTACGTTTTAGTGGGAAAACTAAAAAAAGTAGAAAACTACTTTTGGTTTAATCTGTTTCAGGCTGTCCGAGCCTGTTGTGTGAAGAGCTGGAAGATTTGGAAACAAAGAACAGCAAAGAGACGACCAGGAGAGACGAGGAAGTGTCTGATCAGGGGGATAATGAAGAGACAAGAGAGGAGGCGGTGCACGGAGATACGAAGGAAGAGGAGAAAAAAGCTATTCAAGTTGCTTTATCAGAGATGGAGCTGACTGTGATGGAGGAGCGATTGGAGGAGTCGCAGGATGTGCAGCAGATAGAGGGGACAGAGGAGGAAACGAACGCCAATAAACAAAAGGCTAAAGTAGCAAAAGGTTCAGCAAAGAAAAGCGAGCAGAAGAAGAGCAGGAAGAGACGAGGGAAGAAGCAGAGCGACCAGGTGAGGAGCAGGCGAGCAGTGAAGGACACCTCTGCTAAGCTGGAGGAGGAGAAGGAAAGTCAGGTCCAGGAGATGCCAGCGATGAGCCCTGAGGAGAACTTGGCTCTGCTGGAGCCCTCCGTCAGCCTGTTGAGCAACTGCGACTTGTCTGACTCGGTCTACCTGGGCTTGGAGGGGACGGGGGTGTTTTGTCCACCGGTTCCAGTTCCCCTGCTGTACTCACAGCCTCCGGTCCAGATCCAGCCTGAACCTCCTCAGTCCCACGGGACAAAACGAGCTCACAGTCCCCCGCAGTGTCACAGCCTCCCCCCGCAGACCTCACAGACTCTGGAGGTGAGGAGATGACATTCACGTCAGCCCAACTAGTGCTTGTTGCCTTTAACATGCTTATTTAGAAAGACGAGGCCAGGTTTTCTGATCACAGAAAACTGAAAACATCTGATGATGATTTTATAGTTGATTTTAAAATATTCCCTCTTAACCCAGCGTGGGTTTAAATCACTCACCTGCCATGTGTGACCTGCAAGAAAAGATGCACGCCTTCCGCCTCCTGTGTTTGTTATGAACTGTTATGGTGGTGAACAGAATCTGTTGCCTTTTTCTTTGTATTTTGAGGCGGGAAGCAGCAGAATATAGAATTTTAGGCTTATTTCTAAGTCACATTTAAACCCCAAAGCAAAATTAAATAATCACAGCTAAACTTAAACTTTAGGATTCCTTTCATCCTTGTTTATTATTGTCTGACTCTTGGCCTGGCGGGGGACCAAGGAAGGCCTGGCAACCCGACAAACCTCCAGATCCCGGCCCGACCCTCCTCAGACTCAAAACAGGTGTTGCCAAGGCAACAACCAGCCGACAGAAAACAGGCTGCGTTCACGGAGGACAGGTCCATCACCTAAACGTTACCCGCTAAGAACCACACCAGAATCTAAACAGAACATAGTCAACAACTCCTTTAACGAAATTTTCGAACAGAACGGAACATTCCGTCCTTTACGCTAGCTAGCCCGGCTCTGGCTTCACTTCCTGTTCAGCTGCTCCGAACCAAGAACGCACGATTCGAGCACTTCCAAGGGCGAAAGATGGACATTTTGATGAATGGATCAGAATCCATACAGAATGGGACGTTCACAACGATTGGATGAAGGTTTTCCAAAACTCTATGTTTCAGAGAAGCATACATTACTAGGGATGAGGACTGAATTTGGTACTTTTTAAGGTACCGACCGAATTCCATAGTACCAACCGAGCACCGATTCACGTCATTTCAAACGGTGCCTCGTTTCGGTACCCGTCCTTCATAACGAGAACTTTCCAAGACAGCTGCGCATGCGCAAGAGCGTTATGTCGTCGGTCGCTGCGAACCAGTTGTAATCAGAGCAGCATGGTAGAAAGAACGCACGCTAACGCTTGGGTCCACTTCACTAAATGTGATGGGTAACTGGGTGATGATGAAACCAGCGACAACGATCTAAGTGAGACATCCTCATCTTAATCTGCTCCGGTAGGTAAATATAATTAGCTTGATATGTTAGCTTCCGTTTCGCTAATGGTGCGTTTGCTTTCTCCTCGGAATTCCGAATTCCGCTCTAAAGTTTGGCTTCACTTTACTAAATGCGACAGGTGATTGGGTGAAGACGAAACCAGTGACAACGATCGAAGTGTGAGGCATCATCGTTTTAATCTGCTCCAGCAGCTAAATAAACTGTTCAAGACAATGTTAGCTTGGTATGTTAGCTTCCATTGCTACCATTGTTATCAGCTAATGGTGCGTTCGCTTTCTCCTCGGAAATTCTAACTTCCCAGTAGGAAAAATGAAAAAAGGCGGCAAAAGGAATGAAGATACACAGTAAATTTAGTTCACAGTAAAGATGTTTGCTTCAGTTTAATTATCAGCTTATAAAACTACAAGGACGATGTTAAAATACAAACAGTTGTATGTTATTTATCGTGTTATTTATCAAATATGGTTATATATTGAGAAAAATATATATTTAATTATAAAATAGAATTGAAATAATAAACACTGTAATAAGTACCGGTATCGATTCGTAGGTACCGGGAATTAGTACCGGATCGATTCAAATGTCAAAGGTACCCATCCCTATACATTACATTAAATTTATTGGTTGCCTTTAGCATGTGAAGAGCTTTTTAAAGAATAAGGCCAAAAATGCTCCAGAAAAACATTTTGGATTGTACCTTTAACTGGATTTCAGCTTTCAGTAATACATTTCTGTTCTTGTTCTGAATCAGGAGAAAAGTCCAATACCTTCGGGTCCTAAATGGTCTTCTAGACAAAGTAAGCAATCTGAAGGAGGAGAACCTGAGGCTCTGGATAATTGCAGCTTTTTTTTCCTTTTAATGAACCAACTAATGAACAGAAAGATGAGAATCGTTATCTCCGTGCTGCCGTCCTTGAGGACAGACACTACTGGAAATTAATTGCTGGGGCCATAAAGTTCTGACTAAGAAAATCACAGCTTTCACTGGGTCAGACGTTCTAATGGTCCGGAGAAAAGTCCCAGCCCAGTTTAGAAACCGTAATGGTGGTCTGATCTGTGATAGGTGGAGATAACTCCGGTCTACTCCACTCGGCGCTCCGTCCGGCACAACAACAACAGAGGTCGGAGTCGGGCCCGGAGCATTCCTCCCCTCCCAGAGTTGGAAAACTTGGACGGCTGCCCGCTGCCTCCGGCGCCGAAGAAAACACGGACCCTCTACAGCGCAGGTGATCACCGGATCTGTTTTGTTTATTCGTGTTTAGATGTGAGAGCTTAGCTGGATGTTGGCTCTGCTTTTAGATCAGCTAGCGCATTTAGAGGCACTGTTCCAGGAGGATCACTATCCCGATGCAGAGAAGAGGAAAGTCATCGCCGCAGCCGTCGGTGTCACCCCTCAGAGGATCATGGTGAGTCTGTCCTGCTCCTCTCCTGAACCTTCAAGAAAGTCTTCTTAGAAGGAAGACTTCATCATTAGCATGTAGGAGAATTCTTCTTCCCTTTCTGTTTGTGCCGACTGATTCTCTTCCCTCCCTCCATCATGACATTCCTCCTTTCCCTCCCATGCTTCTGTCTTTTCAGGTGTGGTTTCAGAACCGCAGAGCAAAGTGGAGGAAAGCGCGCTCCGTCACAGGAAAGGCCGAGCCTTCGCAGAGCAGCATCAATCCTAATCACAATATCAATCCCAGCATGACCGTGTTGGCAGCCAACAGGTCAGCCACTCGTTTTCCTCTTACCTTTTATTCTAGATCCACTGATTTTTTTCCCCTCATCTGTTTAGGAAGGAAGTTCCTGTTTTTTCCAGTCACTTTGCTGCTGCTCTACCTCAGCTAGCCCCGACGGCCCCGTTCCCCACCCAGACCCCGCCCTCCCTCAGCAGCCTCCTGGACAGCCTCAACAGCCCAGGTGCATAAAGCTGTTCTAAAGATGAATCTGCGTAAAGACGGGGTTGACGTTCTGAAAATACCGAGCTAAAACGAGATGAACTCATTGTGATTAAGTAACAAGAAAACGGCGTAAAGGTTCACAACTTAAGTCACGATGTTCACATTAATAAGACTGCTTCTGCTCTTTCTCTGATTTTATATTAGCTGATTTTCGACAACCACTGTTTTTTTTTCCTGTTCTATCTTTGTGTTTGCTTTCAAGATCAGTGCAGAGGGAGAGATGTGGGTCAGCACCAGCCCTCTGCTCAGGGGGGGTTACCAGAGTACCATCCTCGTCCCATGCGCAGCCCCCCTCCTCTGCGACGAGCCAGCCTCCCACTTTTCACCTCCTCGTACAACACGGTCGGCACCAACCTACCTCTCCTCAACACCACAGGCCACACCCCGCCTCTCTTCCTAGATGCTCTGGAGGGCGGCTCCTCCTCGGGCCACTGTGACACCCAGACTTTGCAGACTGACACCAGGTCAGCCCATAATTCAGTTAATGGTAACATGAATACTGGAAGATAACTCATGTCTCCTGGAGGCTCAGAGGGCCTTGTATGGGCAGATGGGTGCCGTAAATGACTGTTTGATAGTCGACTAACCACCGTTTATTTTGGCGATTAGTCGACTAATCGGATCGTGTGTAAATTGTAGCTCTTCGCACCGGCAAGCAGCTACTCCAGTGTAACCATTACTATCCTAACTTTAGATGATAGCTGATCTCAACTTATAGAGAATAAAGAAAACAAGGTACTGGGCTTAAAGGTGCAATATGTAAATCTACTGCATGTGGTCAAATTTGGGTACTGCAGTCCATTTTCAAAACAAGTGAATTTCTCTTTTGTCTCATGAGTTTCACATCAAATTATTTTGCTAAATCCGCAACCTGTACCAAAGAGCCCCATGCAATTTTAATTGAGAACAGCTCAGCGTTAGCTTATAGCGTTAGACATTTGCGTATGTACAGATGTCAATCACAGAGTGCACACGTGTCTGCAGAAATACTTAGGCAGATGCATGATTGATGACTTCTCTCATACATAAAGATGCATTGATATATAAGGTAATACTAACCCTTTAAGACCTTGTCTCGCCGGCGCTCCCATTTGCATATCTGTGTTCAAATGCCTGTAGAACTGAAACTATATAAGATGGAACAACATTTTTTTTTGCATATTAAACCGGAGGAGTTACACTTAAATCTCACACACTGAACTTGTCCCAGAGCGCTGCGTATTTCCGCTAATGAGTTTGCAAAAAACAACCAAAATGCGCAATTAAGAAAATCGTTTTCATTCAGACACAGACGCTGTGCCGTTCTGATCTGCAGCTCACACGGCTTCACACGCTAGAATAAACATCATGACTTTGTCAACTTGAACTGTCACATGATTATCACTCACCCAATCACCTGCTTTGATGTCATTTTCCCGCAAATTGTAGTTCTTTGTAGTCCCAGTCTTTCGGCTTTTTCTTGTGATTTTTCGCAATAAAACGTTAGACAAACACATCCTACACACACACCACTACGAACGTTTTGATGACTCACGGACCCGCCAAACGGTACATCCTCCATCCTCGAAGCAGTTGACGCCATTACAGCGCCAGAGGATGTTTAAGTTTCACTTTCAGTTTCCTCACGTATATATTTATGCAATATTCTTTATTATTGTTATTATTATTAGTGAGAGAAAAGGAAAACTATATACTAATGAAGAATTAGCGACAAATATTCAACATTATTATGTTAGACTCCTGCAGATTATTATTGTTTTTGTAACAGTTTATATAAATGAATGTATCTCAGAAACTATTCTATGGAAGCGCTTCACAGAAATGTGTGGTTGTTTGAAAGGATTGTGCGAAACTTTTTTCTATTGACAATTTTGAAGGATAAAGCTGTGGCATTTCTGTATAATGAAAAATATGTAAAAAAAATAAGAATTTCAATTTCTGTATAGGTAATTGCATATTTTAGTCAAATGTTTATGTCTCTAGCAGACGCTTTTGTCCAAAGCGACTTACAAGTAATAATCGGCATGTCGCCTTTGAAGCTAACAACAACAACAATAACATCAACGACAAACAATTTCCAGTCAGTCATAGGTGGCAGTGAGGCAGCATGATGAATCATTGAGAGGAGGGAACAAGGAGTGGACGGTAGAGAGGGGGACGGGTGCAGGGAGGGTGCTAGTTTAGAAGATGCTCTCTGAAGAGCAGGGTCTTCAGGAGTTTCTTGAAAATTGAAAAGGAAGCCCCTGTTCTGGTAGTGCTTGGTAGGTCATTCCACATTTGTAGAACGATGCATGAGAAGAGTTTGGATTGTCCTGAGCGTGGTGTAGGCACTGCTAGCCAACGATCCTGTGATGACCGGAGCGGCCGGGCCGAGACGTAAGCCTTTGCAAGAGGATTCAGGTAGATGGGAGCCGTACCATCTCGGACTTTGTATGCTAGTGTTAGCAATTTGAATTTGATGCGTGCTGCTAGCGGTAGCCAGTGGAGCTCAATGAACAGAGGGATGACATGTTGTCTTTTTGGCTGATTGAAGACCAGACGCGCCTCTGCGTTCTGGACCATTTGAAGAGGTCTCACAGTACAGGCTGGAAGACCAGTTAGAAGGGCATTGCAGTAATCGAGGTGGGAGATGACAGTAGATTGCACCAGGAGCTAGGTGGCATGTTGTGTTAGGTATGGTCTGATGCTTTGTATGTTATACAGCACAAAGCGGCATGAACGAGCAACAGAGGCAACATGATCTTTAAAGGTCAGGTGTTCATCAATCACAACACCCAGATTTCGAACTACCTTTGAAGGAGCCAGAGATAGGAAGTCATTCTGGATTGAGATATTGTGCTGTATGGATGGTTTTGCTGGGATGACAAGTAGTTCAGTTTTAGAGAGGTTGAGTTGGAGATGGTGGGATTTCATCCATTTTGATATGTCAGAGAGACAGTTTGATATTCGTGCAGAGACAGTGTGGTCGTCTGGTGGAAATGACAGATAGAGCTGGGTGTCGTCTGCATAGCAGTGGTAGGAGAAGCCATGTGATCGAATGATCTCACCCAGTGACGTGGTGTATATGACAAAGAGAAGAGGTCCTAGTACAGAGCCCTGGGGGACTCCTGTGGCAAGATGGTATTCTGTTGCTATGAACATTTTACATTTATATAATAAAAATTTAGAATGTAAGGGTTTTATTGATGTATAGAAGGTTGAAATACTCAAAAAAATGGCACCACAGCATCTAAAAATATAAATATAAGTTCTGGCGAACTTGTTCTGTGGCAGGTCTTAAAGGGTTAAGGTGCAAATACATTTTTCTGCCTCTAGATGGTGCCGTCTCAGAAAAGACTCTGGATTTCTGCTTTTATGTTAGCAGTGAACTAGCAGATTAGCTTCAAGAGGCGACTGTCACTCTTTGCTATCAGCCACCACGGGCTTTCTGTTAAAATAAAACATTTGTGTTTGTACCGTGTGATGATGCAGTGTGTGGTTCAAAAGCTAGCTAAGGGTAATTAGCGTCCATGCTCGAGTCAGCACAAACACTAAAGGTAGATTCCACATTTTCTTATATTTCTAGAAAACTCACAGTATTCTTGCAAAGACAGTTTCACAGGAAGTAACCTAAAATTTTCCATTCATACATGAAAACAAATACAAATTGTAGGTCCACACACTGCAACATCAGGAGTCCGTCAGCTAGTAGCGGTAGCACGCGAGCTTAAGGTGCCCGCTAGTGGTGCTAGCTAATGTAAACCCAAGACTCCACTGATTAACAAATGTTGGCCATCACCGCTAATGTTACAGCTGTCAGTACATGTAGCTGATGATATTAGCAGCTAACTAGCACATTAGCCTACAGAGGCGACTGTCTCTCTTCGTCTTCAGACACAACGTTCTTCCTTTGAAGATTTGAGCCACAGTTGCCGTGGAAACACAGGATCTACCTTGCAGATTTAGCCAATGCTTCTAAAATGCTCCCGACTTGCAACGACCTTTTTCGTGATTTTCCGGTGATGCTATGGCTGACCTCATGTGTCACTAATGTGCATGTGCACTAATCAAATTTGCTTGAGCTCTGGTTAAATGTAAGGTGAAATTTGATTTTACTGTAACCTCAAATTTGATTTATTATGAGCAGAGGTTTAGGATGAATGTACAAATTTACTTGTAACAGAATGTCTCTTTATGTTTCCTTCAGTTCCCTTTTTGACTTTGCTGAGAAGCTCAGCTACCCGACCTCCAGCCAGCAGAGCAGCTCTTTGTACCAGGGCCAGAGCTCGTACCCGACCAGGCAGCAGCAGCAGCAGCCTCAGACCTCTGTGCCCCACATGGCCTACCTCACCCTGTCCCCCTACCTCACACCTAACCCTCCTGACTCCAATCCCACCTCCTACCTGACCTTTGGCCCTGGAGGAAACTCCAGCGGGGTGGTGACCTACTCCACTATGGGTCACTCCTATTTACCGCCTCAGAACTCGGGACAAATCCTGCTGCAGCCAGCTGCTCACAACAGTAAGTTCAAATCAGATTTCAGTTCCGTCTGACGCCTGAAATGTAGTTCAAGCAATGTTGTTTTTACACAAATCACGGGACAGGATGGAAATTAGTTTTCTGCAGTAATTATCTTCAGGCTCCGAGTCCAGATTGCATTATGATTCTGAAGAGGAAGTCAGTTGTTACAGGCTGGCGCTCTTTGCCTGTAGCGCACATCTTCTTCCAGTAGATGAGGATGATGAAGCTGGACGGCAGCTGCTGCGTTTTTAGAGATTTGGAAGGACTAGAAACAGCTGCTGGGCTTAATGAGACACAGATAATCAAAGCCACCAAGAGCAGGAAGTCATTTTTATCACAGGGGACTGCGACCTGCGGCTCTGGAGCCACACTTGGCTCTTTGGTCCCTCTCAAAGCGCCAGAATTTCTCTGAAGCTGAGCAATGTTTACATTAAATAGACAAGAGAAAAGGAACTCGCAGAGGCTCCTGGTGAGTTCCATCCAGCTGCTCCCGCGAGGTCCCAAAATCAGAGTAGCAACATTACGAGTGATTCACACAATAACAAACAAGGAGGAAAAAGGCTGTAGCATTTATTCAAAAGGTTTGTGGTTTGTTTTATTTAAGGTCTATTACATTTGAGGAATAGGAAATCTGTAGGTGTCTTATTTTGAAATTTTTTCTGTTCTGTTTTGTTGATTTGGTCCGTTATGGAAGTGTAGCGCGTGAAAAAAGACCCGGCGTGTAAAATTACTGGAGCAAGGTGACGCTTCGCTTCTGGGATGCACACGATACACACTGCTGCATGCCTGGTGGAAACAAAGCCATTACTGGTACTAGGAAGGTTTTTTTTTATTTAGCACCTTTTACAGTCGTGGTTCACATGTTTAATCAATACAGTTGCAGTGGTCTCTAGTAGGAATGAATATCCTGTAAGTCCTACTCTGGGGGGCAAAAAGCTCAGAAGCTAATGGTTAGCTTCTACTAGCTGAGACATTTCACCGTCTATTTTTTGTCAGAAGCTAATGCAGGAGATAGGTGTAGGAGACTATTTTCATGTTCAGCCTGCATGAAACACTCAGAGTGACCCGTTAGAATCAGAAATAATCATTAGAAATGGTTTTTCAGTGAACCACACCTTTTAAAGTAATCGCTTCACAAAAACGACTAAAATGTAAAAATATTTTAAAAAATAATAAAAATAAAATTAAGATAAAATGAAAATGATTAAAAACTACAAATGGAAAAGAAAGCAGTGTACTGCGCTTCTCTGCTTACACATCCAGTTGAAACCCTGCTTAGCAGTTTTTGTCCAACAAAGCACAACTAATAAAAGCAGGTCACTTCACATCATTTCAAACCAAAACTGGTTAAAAACTGATTGAGTTTCCATCAAAAGTATTAAACTAAAACTTTGTTCAGGCAACTTTCTGACATAAGGAGCAATTTCACTCTTAATCCCACAGAAATCTTCATATTTGTATATATTTGAGTCTAGAAAAGCAAAATTTGAACATGTAAAGCAATTTAGTCAGTTATGAAATGAGGATTAAATAAACTTGTGCTCAAAGCTGGGTTTATTATTAGTTTTTTTTACAGGCACAAATATGTTCACCACTGAAGTAGATCTGTAAAATTCCTTTTTGCTCAACATTTTTTAAATAAAAGAAAAATGACACGTTTAAGCTTAAACTCTTAATTTGAAAGGTCAAGCTTTCAAAGATAATTTCATTTGGTTACGCCGTAAAAGATAAAGAACTTGGCTTTAACACGTTGGTTTTCTATTATTATTATTATTAATAATAATAAAAATTATTATTATTATTATTATTATTATCTTTGGTCTTTCCTAACAGGTGGGATAACGGCATTCCCATCATATCCATGGAATAACCTGTACAACCAGCCAGCCACACTCCAGCGAGCTCAGCATCCCTCTGCCTACCCTCCCAGTATGGGATCGGCTCCTGACCACCAGATTCCCACCACCTCCGGCCTGCCTCAGCATTCCTTCTTCCCGCTGGTGGATCATGGGTCGAGCTTCCAGCATTCCTCATGCACTCAGACCCAAACAGACAACGCCGCCCTCCAACCTGTGTCCTCCCTACGGCTTCCTCATCTCAGAGGAGAGATTACCCCCAACAAGGCTTCTTCATCGCTGCTCTCCTCTCAGGTTAGCTCTCCGTCTCCAGAAAGCCCCATAGCGCCATCTTGTGTTAAAATGGATTCTGACAGCCCGAGAGAGATTCATAGCCACTTCCACTGTGATTTCTCCCCCATACACTTTTGAGTTTAAGTTATTGTGTGTGCGTGTGTGTGTGTGAGAAAGTTGCTGCTTGTGTTAACAGAATGTTTACAGTGGAAGTGTTACCACAACAAGGCTTTGTTGGGCTGGGTGGAGCTCCCCTCTAATAAAACGTTCATCGCTCTGTTAAATGTTTTTATGATTTTACCTGGTTTCTTTGTCATAAACCAAAGCTTCCTTAGACATTCTCACACCACAGATCATCTGAATGAGAAGTTTTAGATGTACTTTTTCCTATTTTTTCCCCTCATTTCTTCAGTCTCTATGCACACATTTATGTTTTTGTCCTTAAACACACCTTTTAGAAGGAGAATACCACATTTAGGCATAAATGATTTTGGTTTATCCAGCTGCCTGCCATGCAATGCTGTTTCTCTTCAAAGCCACAGTAATCAGGCAGTATGCTGATTAAAAACTTAGAGGTAGTCACAGAGCTGTTTGGCATCAGAGTGTGTACCACCACAGAAAGCTACAAGTTGTCTCAGGAGATTAGAGAGAAAACCTATGACCAGCATGTTAAAGGAAAAGGCTAAAAGACCACGTTCAAGCAGCTGTGGGCCAGAAGACGACCTCCGAGTAGCCGAAGGCCAGAAGACGACCTCCGAGCAGCCGAAGGCCAGAAGACTGCCTCCGAGCAGCCGAAGGCCAGAAGACGACCTCCGAGCAGCCGAAGGCCAGAAGACGACCTCCGAGCAGCCGAAGGCCAGAAGACGGCCTCCGAGCAGCCGAAGGCTAGAAGACGACCTCCAAGCAGCCGAAGGCCAGAAGACGACCTCCAAGCAGCCGAAGGCCAGAAGACGACCTCCGAACAGCCGAAGGCCAGAAGACGACCTCCAAGCAGCCGAAGGCCAGAAGACAACCTCCAAGCAGCCGAAGGCCAGAAGACGACCTCCAAGCAGCCGAAGGCCAGAAGACAACCTCCGAACAGCCGAAGGCCAGAAGACCAACTCAGAGCAGCCGAAGGCCAGAAGATGACCTCCAAGCAGCCGAAGGCCAGAAGACGACCTCTGAGCAGCCGAAGGCCAGAAGACGACCTCCGAGCAGCCGAAGGCCAGAAGACGACCTCCGAACAGCCGAAGGCCAGAAGACGACCTCCGAACAGCCGAAGGCCAGAAGACGACCTCCGAACAGCCGAAGGCCAGAAGACGACCTCCGAACAGCCGAAGGCTAGAAGACGACCTCCGAGCAGCCGAAGGCTAGAAGACGACCTCCAAGCAGCCGAAGGCCAGAAGACGACCTCCGAACAGCCGAAGGCTAGAAGACGACCTCCGAGCAGCCGAAGGCCAGAAGATGACCTCCAAGCAGCCGAAGGCCAGAAGACGACCTCCGAACAGCCGAAGGCTAGAAGACGACCTCCGAGCATCCGAAGGCCAGAAGACGACCTCCGAACAGCCGAAGGCCAGAAGACGACCTCCGAACAGCCGAAGGCCAGAAGATGACCTCCGAACAGCCGAAGGCTAGAAGACGACCTCCGAGCAGCCGAAGGCCAGAAGACGACCTCCGAACAGCCGAAGGCCAGAAGATGACCTCCGAACAGCCGAAGGCTAGTAGACTACCTCCGAGCAGCCGAAGGCTAGAAGACGACCTCCGAACAGCTGAAGGCCAGAAGACGACCTCCGAGCAGCCGAAGGCCAGAAGACGACCTCCGAACAGCCGAAGGCCAGAAGACGACCTCCGAACAGCCGAAGGCCAGAAGACGACCTCCGAGCAGCCGAAGGCCAGAAGAGCAGCTGGAGGCCAGAAGATCTTTCTGCCTCACTGCAAAATCAGCTCCAAAGAACCAAAATCTTGGTCGACTTCAGGTTCAGGCGCAGGTCGACCTGTCCAGCATGTGCTCTGCTGAAGCAGATAAAGTATCAAACCCTTTTTCCTCTACACTCTGTGAATTAAACCAGTGCGTAAACCTGCTGCAGTTTGTGTATTTTTGGTCTAATCACTTTGGAAACATTTTGAACGAAACTGTGAAACTTTCAGGAGCCAGACGCTCCTGCCAGTGGAGTCGTGTCGAAGGTCAGAGCTGCTCCAGTCTGGTGTTTGTCTACAGCTACTGCAACCCCTGCTGGAGGCTGATGATAGCTGATGTGTTGCATCCTGTTCTGTTGTGTTTGGACCACGTGCTCGGGTCTACAGTCTGGGTGGGGGGAGCGGGGTTGACGGAGTAGCTCATGACATCCTCAACATCCGGCGATGAAACTAAAATCCCTAATCTGTGTTGCCATCTGCTGCGTTTACACACTTAACACAGTTTCTGCTATGTTTATTGTTGGTATGCCAGTCAGCTACGAGGGCATGTGGAAACCAAATCCAAGTGTGAATCCCTCCCGCCTCCGAAAGAGCTGGAAGCATTTTCCTGAGACTTTATAAAGACAGTAGGGAGTAGTGTCAGTTTCCCCTCAGTAGTGCGAGTCAAACAAAGTTTCCCGTTCTGACTCCGCTTAATATTCCTTGTTCGTAGCTCCTGCAATAAAACGAGGATTAGCTATGGGAGCAGAGGAGGAAACCATTTGATGAGGGTGAGGAGGAGGTGGCAGGGACTGAGGGAGCAGATAAAAGATGAAGGAGAACGAGGCAGTCTGTCGGTCAGGGAACGAGGGAGGAGAGAAGCTGTTGCTATGGGAGGAGAGGAGGAGGATGCTGATGAAGATGGGTGGGCTCTGGCAGCAGGCGTGGGAGGAGGACAAGGATGGGGATGAAGGAGGAGTGTGTTGGGGAGGAACAGAACTGGTTATGTAAGAACTGTATTTGGTTTTTTTTAATGAAGCTCTCTCTTCTTGCTCGCTGGCTGTCGAGCTGTTATAGTTGGCACAGGAGGAGCAGCTCAAACTCACTCACGCATGAAAACGAATCAAGACTCTTCCAGCCCCCATCAATCTAATTTTTCTTGGTAAAATCTGATACTTCGTGTCCCTTTTTTTTAAAGTGTCATTCCAAACTCCTTCATATCCACGTGTCGCTGATCCCTCTCCCGTGACTGAAGCGAGCTCCTTGTCAGTTTGACACCGTAATTAATTTTTCCAGGACTTCCCAAGACGGAACAGAGGGAGCTCAGAGCCTGTGTCCAAGCGCGGGTATGGGATGCTTCTGTCTGCCGGTCCGCTCACCGCCGGGCCAATATTTGCTCAGTATTCTGAGATTTGAAGAAAGGCGGCTTGTTTCAGTATTTGTGGATGTGGTCAAACACAGAGTCCTCGCAGTCTTTCTTAACCCGGTGGCACAAACATGCCGGCTCGGGACGGAGAAAACCTGGCCCTGCTTGGTTAAACCAGGTTTTATTGATGTTGGTGAAATAAGCCTATTAATGTAAAATCCTGAAAGGTGGTGGTTGTAGGACACGGAGAACCTCCAGGTGTTTGCTTCACATAGCATTTGGTTTTAGAAAAACACCTGATTAGGACACAAAAAGTTAATATCTTTGTGTTTTTAGTGGAAGTTCCAGATTTAACATGGGTGATGGTAAATATTTGAGCGTTGCCTTTTAAAAAAATGCTAAGCCTCAAACTGACAGAAATTTTGTGATGAATAATTTCCTAATTATACAAACCACTTAGGTGTGGTATGGCAGAAAAAAGTGAATTTATGGGAACATTTCATATATTTACTATTAAGTAAATAAACAGTGAGAGAAATTGAGATTAGATGGTATTCCTTTTATAGATAATTGTAACAAATTCACATCAAACCACCTCTAGTGTTAAATGGTCAACTTTCTTTACAGAAACAGTTGTTTGCATATGTTGGGGATCAAAATGACCCAGTAGCCCTGATAACTGACCAAACAGCACCCCTTAACACAGCCCTATAATGGAAAGACCGCTTTGTTAACAATAGTTAAGATGTGCATCTATCTGGCATTCCTTCACACTCTGGATATTCCCATTACATCCCTGAACATTTCATGAATACAACATTCTTCTTTGTTGTTTTCCTCTCGTTTATTAAGGACATTAGCAGTAGCGCTGGCAAGCGTTGTTCTGCGGTTAGTTTTACCACCTCCAACATTTATATAACACTGATGTTGGCGTGGGTTGGGACATGCAAATGTAAGGTGGTGTATCTAAGCTTGACATGTTGAACCATCTTTCTCAGCTGCCATTAGAAAATTACTAATTCTTAACTCATTCACTGCCAGCCGTTTCCTGATCAGAAAAGCCCTCCGCAGTCAGCATTTTTCAGCGTTTTCACTGTTTTTTGAAGAGTCACAGAACGTTGCGCTCTATGACAACAACGTCAAAACTACCAAAACATAGAGTAGACTCACCTCTTACATCAGGAAGAATCCGCCTGTTTCGAGCGTTATCCGTTCTTTCATAATCAGTTGTCGAATTGTGATTGTCAGAAGCTTTTCCGGTTCGCGCCTCACTTTTATTAATTTTTTTTTACAGTAGCGGCCCAAAACGATCTAACACATGGATTTTCTGCTTTTCCAGTCACGTGATGCGGATGAAGATCAGCTTTAGAGCTGGTATGTTTGTTCTCATGGTGCGGGGGTTCGTTCCGACGCCCACCTAGTAAAAACACGCAAATGTCGCAGTTATTGAGTTAAAAGAAAGCAGGTCGGAGAATGCTTAGAAGTTTTGGTACATTTGACACCTCAAGCTGCCTAAATTCAACAAGTTAAATTTAGTTTTGAATTCTAGAACGCTGCTTATATCCTCCAGATATCAAGATTACTATCTTCACCAAAAATTAGTCCTATACATGTCTACTGCCCCCTTCTGGAGGATACATAGTTGACAAAGGCCAATTTTATATCTTTCTTACTGGTAAATTATTAATATAATAACATTAAAAAGTAAGACGATGTTTTTATATTTGAGTTGACAATAGTTCAGTTGTAATAGCGGCATTGTTAGATTTTCTTCATATTTCAGGCTTTAAAGGGTTCAAAGGGTACAAGCCGGACTCCTAAAGGGATAGTCTGTTTGTTATTCTGATAAAAACAGGTCATTTATGAATTATATTTATGTTTGGGGGGAAATCATGAACTTTTAAACTTTAAAGCTTTAAGTAAAAAAAGCCTTAAGAGATTGGTTATGTTAAAAATATTTGCAGAAACATCTGAAGGAAAAGATCTAATACCGTATTATTCTGCTTTTTATGATCATCTAAACGATAATGTTCCTCTTCATTA